AAGCTTCAAGTCCCAGCGTGGCCGGCTGGGGAATTCTGGGAGTTGAAGTCCACAAGTCTTAAAGCTACCACGGTTGGGCACCCTTGGCTGAAGCCAAGGACAGTCAAGTGGACGGCCTCTCTTAGTAGCGAGTGGCTCAAGGACCCCGACGGATGTGCCGGTTATGAATCCACTTGGAAGACGGGGTGCAGGCCGCCGGTGGGAAATTGCGGGAGTTAGTCTTAAAGTGGCCAAGTTAGGGGACACACACACACACAAACACACCGGTCTAGTGGGATCGGCTGCCCTCTGACTCCGTTCTACCCCCCCTTGCAGGCTGGGCTTGACCACGGGAGAGCCGAACTCGGCGTCCGGCGAAGCAGAGAACAGGACCGCAGCCGCCTCCCCAGAAGGCCCCGCCAGGGCACCCTGCGCTCCCACCACCCACCAGCCCGACGGGCACTTCAAGAGGCGCTCGCTCCGCTGCCGGAGCCGCAGGAACCGACACAAGTTACGCGAACCGGAGGCCTCCGCCCCTGCCCCAGAGGCCTCGCCGTCGTCCTCTGCGGAGGCCACGCCGGTTGAGGAGAGGGAGGCCGATCCCTCCGCCGACGAGCGCCAAGGCAGCCGGGCCTCTCCCCCGGCCGAGATGTCCCCGGAGGTGACCAGGGTCCTGAGCAGAGTGGACGAGGTGGTGGCTGTGGCGGCAGCAGCGGCGGCGGCAGCCCCGGACAGAATTCCCAGCCTGCCTCTGGGGCCGCAGGAGCAGCAGAAGAGGAAGTGCTTCGAGCAAACCGCCTCCCCCTCTTTCCCCGAGAAGAAGCCGCGGCTGGAGGACCGTCAGTCCTTTCGTAACACAATTGAAAGTGTTCACCCAGAAAAGCCACAGCCCACCAAAGAGGAACCCAAAGTCCCTCCCATCCGGGTAGGAGAGAGTCTGGGAGTGGCGGCCTGCCTTGGCGGGTGGCCGGGAGGCGGTTCTGGGCTTCCCTGGCTTCCCCTGAGGCCTCGGGCTCAAGGGATCACGGGGCGACTCGCCGCTGCTCCCCCAAACATGCCTTCGGCTTGGGCCCCCGGGTGGGTCTCCCTCTGGGTCAGGAGGAAGGGTAGGTGGGCACACTTGGGGCGGGGGGTCTGCCTTCTCCTGCGTGAGCAATCTCAGAAGGGGTCTGGAAGGGGGAGGAATGAAAGGATCTTAACGGGAATCACAGGGAGGTAATCCAGTTTCAGCTAGTAGCGAAACCACCACACTAGAAACCAGGCGACTGTGAGTTCTAGGCCTGCCTTAGGCACAAAAGGCAGCTGGTTGACTTTGGGCCAGTCACCAAGAGATTGTGAGTTCTAGTCCTGTTTCAGCCATGAAAACTGTCTGGGTGACTTTGAGCCAGTCACTAGGAGACAGGGAGTTGTAGTCCCGCCATAGGTATAAGAGCCAGCTGGGTGACTTTGAGCCAGTCACTAGGGGACAGGGAGTTCTAGTCCCACCTTAGGCACAAAATCCAGCTGGGCGATTTGGGGGCAGTCATTCTCTCTCAGCCCAACCCACCTCACAGGGTTCTTGTTGTGGGGAAAATAGGAGGAAGACGTCTTAGGGATATTCCCCGTTTTGAGTTATTTATAAAAAGAAAAATAAAGGCGGGATACAAGTTAAATAAAAGTGGGCTAATTCTCCATCTTTTTTCCTTCTTCCGGGAATAGGACCCCCCCCACTACTGTTGCATCAACCATAATGTGGTGGGTGGTCTAGGTGGGGCTTTGCCCTTTTTAGCGCTGAAGCTAGGTGGAAGACCCCCTGTCTCCAGGCCTTTTTCCCAGGGGACTCTGGGAGTCGTAGTTCTGAGAAGGGGGCCCTTTCCCAATCTGCACTCCCCAGCATTCCTTGAGAAGGCAGCCTGGACCATTATGTTTCTACCTCTCAAACAGTCTTGGAGGGGGGGTGGTTCCTTCTAAAAAATTAAGTATTTATAAAGGATAAAAAAATTACAATTCTAAAAATAAAAAGTAGGCAACGGGGGGCGGGGGTGCTTTTAACGTGCCGGCCTCCAGGACGGTCTCCAACCCCCCCTTGTTCTTCTTGTTTCTTCTCTCCAGATTCAACTTTCCCGAATCAAACCCCCCTGGGTGGTTAAAGGTCAGCCAGCCTACCAGATATGTCCTCGGATTATCCCCAATCCAGAACCCGCCAAGCCGGACAGAAGGGGCAGCCCAACCTCTGCTGACTCTCAGGCCTGTCCTCTGCAAGGCCGAGTCCAGCGAGCGGCTGCTACTCCTGCCTCCACCATTGGAGGTGGGGGTGGGCCAGGAGGCGGTGGAAGGGCTCCCGACGAAGGCGGTGGTGGTGGTCGCAGCAGCAGCAACAACAACAACAGCAGGGTCCGTCCGCCCAGGAGCCACCGCGCCAAGCACTGGCGATCCAAGAGAACTCGCGGGAAGCGCTGGTCAGATTTACAGCGAGCACAGTTACTGCCGCCTTCCCACCTAGACGGGAAGACCGGCTGGCCGGTGCCTAAAGCCAACTTGCCTTCCGGGGCCAGAGAGCCCACCTGGGAAGGAGAGCGTGAGCTGGGTGGACAGGCCGCAAGTCTTCCTTCCCAGAAAGCTGCTGCCCAGCGAGAGGAGCCTTCGGAAGGAGGCACCCCTGATCGCAGAGCAGCGGGAGTGCCGGCCGTTAGTCCTGGGCAACTAGTGGAGGATCCGAGGCCTCCCCTGTCTCCAGAAGAGGCTTCTCTGGAGGGCCGTAATCGGAAGGAGAGAAGGGAATCTCCCGTGGGAAGCCAGCGGAGCAGTGGCTGGCTAGGAGACGCGGAAAGCAGGAAGGAGGGCCGTGAAGATGACCGTCCCGCCATGTTGGACTGCACCACTGCAGCACAAGCCGGCTCCCTTGATCTGGCTCCGGAGAGCAGCGCAAGAGTTGGCTCAGAGGCTTTGGGCTCCCCTGCGTGGGACGGCGTGCCAGTGCATCCCACTCCTGCTGGGACGGAACGTCCACCCTCCCAGCCTCAGAGGGCCGCCCCTGGTGCTGGAAGAGGAGCCCGGAGTAGCCCAGAGGAAGCTTCCCGGGCGACAACAGGCCTGCTCCCTCCTTGCTTTGAGGCAAGTGCCCACAAGAGCCACCTGTCCCCAGCAGAGGCACCCTTGGGCATGGAGGTAGAGACTGACCGAGAGCGGGCCGAGGCAGGGCCGAATGCCAGCCCCAGCAGCGACGAGGGAGCCCGGAGTCCGCTGAGTGAGACCACAGAGACCGCTTCCGATTTGGATGCTGAGCTCACCGATGAGAGCTTGGAAATAAACCGGGATTGTCGCCCCGCGGAAGCGAGGGAAGCCAGGTCCAACCAGAGGCACCCGGAGGAACGCAAAGAGGTCATCTTAGAAAGCAGGAAAGATTTGCCTTCCGACGTCGACGTTGCCAACGCACCGTGTGGGAGAAAGTCGCCCTCTGCTACTCTCACGGCAGGAACATCGGTTCTCTCCATTTATGTCAAAATCCAGGAAAGGCCCCGCTCGGGCGTCCCCCAGACTCTGTCCACCGGAGCGAGCAAGCCCCTTGAGGGACAAGGGGTCATCCAGGGCCTGCCTCCACGAAGCGTTCTGCCCTCTTCCCAGGCGGCTAAGAGCAGGGACCGCCTCGTGCAGGACGCTTCTTACGAGGAGGGGACAGTCCTGACTGACCCAGCCGGGAAGGCCGCTTGTCCATCCGAGCTCTTGCGGGATTCTGCCGGAAGGCCCTGCCTGCCGGAGACAGCCTCCCTGCCTCCAGAGAAGAATCCCAATTCGGGATCCATGGATCAAGCCGTCCGTCAGTCCCAGAAAACAGATCTCTTGAATCTGGGAAAGAATCATATCTCCCCCACTCTTCATCCAGATCAAAGGGATCCTCCCTGGGCAGATTCTACCGTTGGCGTCGGGAAGCTGGAAGAGAAGCTCAAGACGGCCCCGGAGCCCAGGCTCGTGACCTCTCTGGGGCCCGGGCAGCCAAACAACGTTCCTGCAGGGAAGACCCCTGCAGCTCTGGGCAGGAAGGTCTTCGGCTCGGGCATCCCCTCGGGTGGGGCGGCAGCCAAGGCCCAGAAGCCCCAGGGCTCCGAGCCCTTCCCCATGTGGGGCATGCTGTCCCACAGCAAACTGGTCTGCCCCACGCCCAAGGGTGCTGCCCCCGGAGCCGGCTTGCCTCCTGCAAGGGAGGGTGGGCCCTGCAAGCGGGACGAGAACAGGAAGGTCCAGGCCTCGGTCCAGAGAAAGAGGGAGCCGCCGAAAGAGGCCCCTGCCAAGTTGAGGGAGCCTTGGCAGAGCCTCCCTTTGGTGAGGGACCTGGCTTTTTTCAAGCTGCCGAAGGAGCCGGGCAAGGGGGCCCCGCAGCCCCTGGAGCCTTCCTCCCTGCCTTCCCAGCTCAACATCAAGCAGGCCTTTTACCGGAAGCTCTCCAAGCTGCAGCTGAATTGCGCCCAGCTGAATTCCGCCTCTTCGGCTGGCAGCCCCTTTTTCCCCAGAAGCCTGGAAGGCAGCCACGCCATGCCCTTCGGCCCCAAGGCCACCCTGACGGCTTCTTCCCGGGGCGGGCTGTCTTTTTCCGCCCAGGTGTTTGCCGAGACGGGCAAAGGCATGGAGGAGCTCTCCTTGCAGTGCTCCTGCAGCCTGAAAGCCATGATCATGTGCAAGGGCTGCGGCGCCTTTTGTCACGACGACTGCATCGGCCCCTCCAAGCTTTGCGTGCTGTGCCTGGTGGTTAGATGACGCTCGCAGCCCTGGGAAGAAGGAGAAGCAAGCTGTACATTTGAGCAAGGGAGGAGGAGGAGGAGGACGCCGACCAAGAACAAACCTGTATGCAAACAAGATTCTGGTCCTTAAACGAAGGCAACGTTGGTGCTGTGTGTCTTGGGTTTCCCTGCTAGGGGTGGCAGGTCAGACATGGAGACGGGCTGGTTTTGGGGAGGGGGCGATTCTCACCCATCGAGGAACTGTGGAAGATTTGGCACTGTTGGCGCCCCTGTTCTGGCGCTGTGGGACGGGTGGGGGGGAAGAGCTGAGACCCCCCCCCTTCCTGTTGGAAGGCCGAGTTAAGGAGGCCCAGCCAATCCAGCTGATTCTGTCTTCCACTTCCTGCCACCCTCCCCAAGCGCTGGGGAGGGTCCGCCCGGAAATACAGGGCGGTGGGCTTCAGAGCCGGAACCGCAGGAGGGGAGAACGGGAGGCCCCAGGCGCCGCCTCTCCCCCCCGCGTCCGGGGAGGACTTTTTCACTTTCTAAGCAGTGTCATCTTTTTTTCGGTTGTTGTTTTTTTTATTTTTATTTTTTAAGAACCCCCCCATACGTATATAAATATAAATCTATAATATAATTTTTTTTGTTGTTCTTGGGTGTAAAAAAAAAAAAAAAACAAGTGGAAACCGTTTGACACCTCTCTGTACCTTCTATGCATCTGTAGGCAACACGTCTTTCTTCATCCGTTGTACACAGCTCACCCGGCCACTTCTGTAAAATAGATGTTCTGTACATAAAAAGCTCTCTTTTTTTCCCTTTCTCTCTTTTTTTTTTTTTGAAAAAAACACACCCCTTTTTCGTTTTATTTCAGGCTACCCACAGTATTGCATTTGTAGAGTAGTGTCGGTTACCAAGTGCCCTCCACCAACGGCGGGGGAGGGCCTGTACCCTCCTCCTGCCGGGCCGAGGGGAAGGGGGGAGCCCCTCCTGTTGAACCCCTTAGATTTGAGTCCGTCTCCCAGGAGGCAAGGCCCACTCTCTTCCCCCCCCCGGGGGAAGGGCCCGAAGACCTCAACCCAAGGCCCCTGTCATCTCCCTCCCCTTGACCTACCTACCTACCTCTTCGTTTCTTGACAGCCTCCCTCCCCTTGGCTTTCACCGTAGACCTCCTGCTCAAGAGTGACAGCAACAGCCTAAAAAAAAAACACACACCTGGGCTGCCCGGGCAGGTGAGCGCCATTCCCCAAAATCAGTTGAGGTCTCCTGAGCAGGGAAGGCGAGTTCAAAGGGGAGTGGGTGGTCTTCAAAGGTGAATCCACAGAGGGTCTGAACCTGCTTACCAAAGAAGGGGCTTCCCCAAACCCCTCCCCTGCTTCTGACACCCCCCCTCCATCCTCGGGGGGGGGGAGAGATGTGTGGTTTGTGTACAGATGGAGCCTGGGCTGATGGGGGAGGAGGGGCAGATCTACCCTGATGTTATATGTCCCTTGTGGTATGGAGAAAAAAAAAATAATAAAAAAAAACATTTGCAACAGCTCAACCCTGGCTTTGCAACGCTCCTTTTCCAGCGGCATCTCTTTGTGCGCGTTGTGGACAAAGGCGGTGTGGGTGTGTGTCAAACCAAACTTGAGTGGACGTAGACAGCCTTATAGATCTAGCCAGGACGGTCGCCTTTTTTTTCTCCCGTCCCCCCAACCACCACCCGCTTGAACAGGAGAAACAGTGCCCCGTTTTGTGTCCTCTGGTTGTGGGTGTGCTTCTTGTGCTGTTGTTTCCTTTGCCGTATGTGCAAGTGTTGGATGTTGGTTTGCGTCGAACTGAGCGGCTCGTCGGGGTTCCCCTCAACCTCTTCCTGAAGCCGCTGGACGAAGGCTCTCCTTTATCCTTTAGTTGCACCCCAGGCCTTGGGGGAGAAGATACAAGGAGTGCTCGGCTTAACGACCGCAACAGAGCCCGACATTGCTGCTGCTAAACGAGATGGTGATGGAGTTTTGCCGCCATTTTGTGACCTTTCCCCCCCACCCTTGTTAAGCGAAACACTGCAGCTGTTAAGTCAGTAACACGGCCGTTAAATGAATCCGGCTTCCCCCATTGTCTTTGCTGGTCAGAAGGTCGCAAAGGGGGAATCAGGTGGTCCCGGGAGACGCTGCGACCGTCGTAAGTACGAACCGAGCGTCTGAAATTCAGTCGTGTGACCACTGCAGCGGTCATTGGGGGAAAACAGTCCTAAGTTGCTTTTTTCCGTGCTATCGTAACTTCAAATAGTCACTAAACGAACTGACTTCAAGGACTACCTGTAGTCCAGAAGTGTGTGTGTGTGTTTGTGTTGGTAACGAAAACTACACATTCTCCAGTTTTGCATCAGTGTTTTGAGCCAGATGCCATGGGGTGCCCTAGGCGGGCGCTGCCTGCTTGAAAATCGCTTGCTATCGTTTACGGAGCGCCAGGCCTTGGAAGGGAAGATAACAGGGACTGCTCGGCTTAAAACGACTGCAACGAGGCCCGAAATTTCCGCTGCTAAGCAAAAGAATTGTTTAAGGGAGTTTTGCCCCCGTTTTGTGACCTTCCTTGCCCCAGTTGTTAAGTGAACACTGCAGTTATGTTGGTAATATGGCTGTCGAGCGAATCGGGCTTCCCCGTTGACTTTGCTTGTCAGACGGTTGCAAAAGGGGATCAGCGGTAGAAGGGAGAGGGGTTTGCAAAGAGGAGGAGTAGGAGTTTTATGACCCACCTGGGTAACATCATCCATGCCACAAGGAGGATTTGTTCTCTGTTTATCTACAAGTGGCTCGTCCTGTCAATGTCGGTTGCGAGTGTCCTTGGTAGTTCCAACAATTAATATATAACATTCTGTAGTATATAACTTAGGGCAGGGGTAGGCAACCTGGGCTCTTTTATGACTGGTGGACTTCAACTCCCAGAATTCCTGAGCCAGCCACGTTGAGGGGAAAGGGAGAGGTTTCCAAGCTGAGCCATGCTGGCTCAGGAATTCTGGGAGTTGAAGTTCACGAGTCGTCATAAAAGAGCCCAGGTTGCCGACCCCTGACCTAGGGCAATACTTAGACAAAACATATATAAACACAGCAAATCCCACTCCCTTCTAGCCATCATGATGTCATCTAGCTCAGCGGCCCCCAATCGTTTGGGCACCAGGGACCCGTGCCTGTTTTTTTCTGTGCGGTTTTGTGTGCTGCTTGCATCCCGCAGATGGAGCTTCGCTTGTTTGCACGGGCCGGTTTTTGGCACGCCGTGGCCCGGGAGTTGGGGACCCCTGATCTAGCTGGGTGCTGAAAATGTCTGCAAGAAAACTGCCACGCTCAGAGAGCACCAAGGAACCCACACCCTCCTCTTCCCCTCCACCGACTCCTAGCACTGATGATGTTCCCTAGTAGGGACGTGAAACGTCTGCAAGAAAACAACTTGAGCTCAGAGAGCACCAAGGATCCCACAGTTCCTCCTCCTCCTCTCCACACACTCGCGTCCCTTCTAGCACTGATGATGTTACCTAGTTAGGTAATGAAACGTCTGCAAGAAAACCACCCAGCTCAGAGAGCACCAGGGACCCCACAGTCCTCCTCCATCTCTCCACACACCCCACTCCCTTCTAGCACTGATGGTGTTGTCTAGCTGGGTGATGAAAACGTACAGCCAAGCCTATTGAGCATCAGGGAATTCCCCCCTCTATCCCCCCCCAATCCTGAGCTACCAGTATTTTCTTCGTATCAATCCGTAGATTCTCATTTTTGACCCATCCCCGGTCTTAAGAGAAGCCGCTTTCCCCCCCCCCCGGAGTTGGGAAGGGGCGAGATCCGTTCCGTTTGTTATACAGTGTTTATTAAGTAGATTCAGTCTTATATGATATACAAACTCCCCCCCAAAAAAACAAAAACAAAAAAAAATTCCACATACTTATGAAATCAGTGCATTTAGCAAGTAATACCATGAATGGAAAAGAACCGCTTGGTTTTAAAAAAACAGCTCGTTGGTCTTTTTTTTTTTTCCTTTTTTTTTTTCCTTTTTTTTTTCAGTGAATAGGACGAGGAGATTGGCCTGTGCTACTCGTTTCACAAACAGAACAGAATTTGAAGTTCGCATCACGTTAAAAAACCAAAACACGCGAGCTAAGAATTAAAATATTAAAGCCACGTTTACTGGGAAGAAGGAGGGGGAAAAAAATAAGATCCACTGTCTAGAACACATAAAAGGAAGGGGGGGGATGAGATTTCCATCGCACGTTGAGGAAGGGGGGGAAAAAAAAGACCTCATCTGCTTAGAGCCACGTGAAATTTGCATAGGTTTTGCCCGTTAGGAAGGAAGGAAAGGACGAACGCTCTTTCGAAGCTGCTTTTTTTAAGTGCCTTGGTTTTTTGTGTTTTTTTTCCCATCTCTGGGGAAAGGGGGAAATGGGTGGGCTTAGCTCAGCTTTGTAACTGCACCAGAGGGCTACTGCTTTGGTTGCCCTCTTCCTGATGGCTGGGGGGGGGGACTCGCCGGCCACTCGACCCTCCTGCAAGTTTTGGCTAGAGGGGGGATGCCTGGCCTCGGCAAAGAAACCCGGTGCCCACCAGCAGCCTGCAGACCATCGTTCACGTGGGTTTTATCAGTGGCGGGTTTCCACAAGCCACTCGTTAACTAAGAGGGGCCGTGCTGTTACCTGGCTTTTGCTTCAACTCGGGGTTGTCCAGCCTCGGCGACTTTAAAGACCTTCAACTCCCAGAATTCCCTGGCACCAACGCATCCCCTTTTCACGTGCAGCTCCCATTTTTGGCCTGCTTGCTCTCTTGTCATCCTTTCCTCTGCAATCTCTGCAGAGATTGTCATTCCTCTACCGTCGAAACGGGCCTGGCTGGGGGAAGTCTGGGCGTTGAAGGCCACAAGTCTTAAAAGTTGTCAACGATTGGACATCCCTTGTCTTTAGGCATTCGGATGTCAAGCTGGCCGGAGGGGACCAGCGTGGTGGGGCCCCCGTCCTAGCAGCCCAGCCCCATGGGCATCGGGAAACAGGTGAGCGGATCTGTGGCTGCACTAAGCAGATGAGGCGGGGGGGGTGAGGTGGGTCTTCCTCGCCAAGGCGAGGGTCTCGCTGAACACAAGAGGGGCGCTGGGAGTTTTCTGTACATGTAAACAGTACACTTTCACTGAGTCCAAAGTCAGGAGGAAAAAAGTACAAAGAATTCACGTTGGTCTTCGGTACATTACAGGTGAAGAAGAAAGAACGGAGCGGATCCGTTCGGAAACGACCACCGAGAGAGAGAGAGAGAAAAAAAACTTTTTTTTTTTCCTTTTTCTAAAAGCACCACGAAAATGGTATAAAAAATCATCGAGACCAGGGACAGATTGTTTCAATCGGTTATTTTTTTTTTTCTTTCTTTCCCCCTGGTGGAAAATTGCTAAGACTACCTTTGTAAAAAGTCTTACAAAAAAGAAATACAAAGCAAAGTTGTATTTTTTTTTTCCAACCCTCTGAGTTCAAAGCAGCATTTCCCCCCCCCCCCGGGAAAAGGGACCGATAATTGAGGGGGACGGTCAGCGACGAAAAAAATCGGGCCTCTAAAAAAATGGGGCAGGGGGCTTGGAGTGGGGTGTCCCGCCAAATGCCTGTCCCCAGGTCCAAATGCTGCTGCGGGAGAGCAGGACGGGGGGGGGCTCACCTTGCCGAGCCCCCCCCATTGCCAAGAGGGCAGCAGCTGAGCCCCTCCCACAAATACACCCCAGAGAACTGGCCTGGAAAAAGAGGGCTTCCTGGTGGGTCAGCCTCCGGGACAGACCCCCTGCCCAGGTGTCCCGAGAATCGTAGAAAAACATGGCTTGTAGGATCGACTTTTTCAGATCCGGAGAGGGATGGCTAGTCAAACTCAAGGCGGAGTCAAGTGCCACCTCTGGATGGTCTCCAGGAGCCCCAGACGTGTGAAATGGGGGCAGAGGAGGATGGGGGGGAGCCACCGGCTGGCGCTAAGGGACCCCGAATTCCATCAAAGGAGCTGTTTTGGCTCTGTCCAGTCTGGGTCACCGGCCGCCGCCGCCCCCTCCCCAAAAATTGCATGGCGGCCCCCCCTCCCCAAATCCTGATGTGCCCCGAAGTTGCAGACGGAAGGGGTGGGGGGGGTAGGGGGGTGAACCTTCACGTGTTTCCGGACGGCGATTGTCTCTGCCGCTGTTGCACAATAAGGGCTTTGCACAAGGGTGTTTGCGTGTCAGACCCGGTACAAGAACTATTTACACAAAGTTGGGGGGGCCCTCGGGATGGGGGGGCGGAAGAGGGTCAAATCAAGGGGGGGACGGATAGGATTGCTAGCAAAGACATGGATCCTGTCCTCCACTGTAAGAGCCCCCCTTTCTTGGTTTGGGGACAGCTGGGGGGGCAAGAGAGGCCGTCCCCTTCTCCTCGGAGGGCAGCCTTGCTGTCCCCACGCCCAGCAAAGCCTTGGGGGCGGGGAGCAGATGGTCCCGGGTTCAAATCCCGGCCTGACTCTGGAGCACCAGAGAGAGGAGAAAGTAGATGGGTTTAGCATAGGGTTTAAGCCATGTGGACTTCGACTCCCAGAATTCCCCAGCCAGCTTTGCTGGCTGGGGAATTCTGGGAATCGAAGTCCACAGGCCGAGGTTGGATGCCCCTAGCATAGGAGAAACCTACATTGAAACGACGCTCCCTGGATGGGAAGAAACGGCTGCAATCCGAGGCGCCCGCTTTGCCCAACCTCGCAGGGGTGGCTCTTCCTTCGGGACACGGTGGGGAGCCTAGGACAGGGCCAGGAGGACAAGACTGGGCCCAGCTCTCTTCCCAGAGCCGATTCCGGTGGTTACTGCTGAGGCTGCTTTTGCTAAAATCGCCTGTCAGCTGCCCCAGAACCTCCATTCCCTCTTGTTTTATACATATAGCAGCACAGTCAATATTGCACTGAGCAACAAAGCAAGTGCGTTTGCATTTGCAAGGTGGGGGTGGGGCAGGTTGGAGGAGGAGGAGGAGGAAGAAAAAAAGGGGGCTCAATCCCTTTGCACACACAGACACATAAAAATCGGGCTCCGGCAGCTGTTCGGGGTGCCTCTCTGTCTTGGCAAACCTACCGGCACGACTCAAATGGGCTCCTGCTCGCCCCTCTCCACACGCTTTCCATTTTTGGAGGAGTTCTTGCCACTCTCTCGCAAGCCCTGCAGCCGGGAGCCACCTTGGGCTCCTCAAAAGTGAGCCGGGGCCAGCAGGGAGCAGCCAGGAGTGAGGTAGAGTGTGGAGGAGGAGTGGGAGGAGGAGGAGGTGGTGGTAAGGTGGTGAGGACAAGGAGGAGGTGGTGAGGACGAGGAGGAGTGAGGACGAGGTGGTGAGGATGAGGTGGTGAGGACGAGGTGAGGACGAGGTGGTGAGGTGACAAGGACGAGGTGGTGAGGTGATGAGGTGGTGAGGACGAGGTGGTGTGGTGAGGACGAGGTGGTGAGGTAATGAGGACGAGGAGGAGGTGGTGAGGACAAGGTGAGGACGAGGTGGTGAGGTAATGAGGACGAGGAAGAGGTGGTGAGGACGAGGTGATGAGGTGGTGAGGACAAGGTGAGGTGGTGAGGTGATGACGAGGTGGTGAGGACGAGGTGAGGATGAGGTGGTGAGGTGATGAGGACGAGGAGGAGGTGGTGAGGACAAGGTGAGGACGAGGTGGTGAGGAGGAGGAGGAGGTGGTGAGCAGGAAGAGGAAAGCCGGGGTGCTTTGGCCCTAAAATGAGCCCGGAAAGTCCTCCCAAAACCGGCTTCGGGCCCCAGTGTGCCTCCCCCCCCCGGGCAAAAGTGGGGATGGAGTGGCCCAAAGGAAGGAAAAACCCGAAAGCAGCGACTGCTTTTTCCGACTGGCTTCCGATGCCTGGCTGCTTCCTTCGCGGGACAGCCGGTGAGACAGTGCAGGATCAACCCCCTTCCTCACTTAGAGACACAAAAAGTGGCAATTCTTTACAAACTCAAGAATCTTTTTTTTCTTTTTTTAGGAAAAAAAATAAATTACGGGGAGGGAGGGAGAATAGAACCGGGGGGCTGGAGGGGCTGGAGGGACCGGACCGGTGCATTTCTCAATAAATATGCAATTCCTAAGAAAGAAGACGGGACGGGGGGGGAGGGTGAAGAAAGAGGGACTTCTACCGCAGCCGGGCTCCGCGAGAAAATCCTGACTCTGCCTCAAGCTCTCTGCCAGCCCGAGCCCCCCCTCCTCCTCTCCCAAAACCACCGCGGTCCCCATCTTTCCAGGCTGCAAGGCCGGCTCCGGCTGGTCAGCTTTCAAAGGCAGGAGACTCCTGGGGTCCCCGGGGCTCCAGGTCGAAGAAGAACAAAAAGGAATCTCCCGGGGTCTCCCACCTTGGCCGGGGCGGTGATGGCGGCAGAGGATCGGCCAGTCCTGAGCAGATTTATCGAGAAAGCCTGGGCCGAGGGGTGGTGGTGGTGGTGGACAACAGTCTCTTCCGGCACAGGAGCCACCAGGGAGGCGAGCAGTCAGTTCTGCTGTAAAATGAGGTTTTCCAGTTCGTCGGCCGAGCGGAGGAGGAAGGCGGCAGACTCCCGGTAGCCAGCGATCAGCTGCCGCACGGCGCTGATCTCGGTTGGGCTGAGCTGGGCGGCCTGCACCCCCCGGTTCGTGCTGTTGGCAGGGGGGGTGGTGCTGGACGTGCCGCTTTTCATGCTGAGGTCAGTAGGGCCTGCAAACCGGAGGGGCAGTGGAGAGAAACACAGAGGCATCAGGTGGAGGGATGGACAGGAATTTTTTTAAAAAATATAAATATACATAGAATAATAATGGAATGGAATCGAATGGAATAATAATGAATAGAATAGAATAGAATAGAATTTAGATTAGAATAGAATAGAATTTAGAAAATAAAATAGAATAGAATTTAGAATAGAATAGAACAACAGAACAGAATAAGGAATAGAATAGAATAGAATAGAATAGAATAGAATAGAATAGGGAATAGAATAGAATAGAATAGAATAGGGAATAGAATAGAATAGAATTTAGAATAGAATAGAATAGAACAGAACAACAGAACAGAATAAGGAATAGAATAGAATAGAATAGAACGGAATAGAATAGAATAGAATTTAGAAAATAGAATAGAATAGAATTTGGAATGGAATGGAATAGAATAGAATAGAATTTAGAAAATAAAATAGAATTTGGAATGGAATGGAATAAAATAGAATAGAATAGAATTTAGAAAATAGAATAGAATTTGGAATAGAATAGAATAGAATTTAGAAAATAGAATAGAATTTGGAATAGAATAGAATAGAATTTAGAAAATAGAATAGAATTTGGAATAGAATAGAACAGAATTTAGAAAATAGAATAGAACAGAATTTGGAATAGAATAGAATTTAGAAAATAGAATAGAATAGAATTTGGAATAGAATAGAATAGAATTTAGAAAATAGAATAGAATAATAGAATAGAATAGAACAGAACAGAACATAGAATTGAACAAAACAGAATAGAATAGAATAAACAGAGTTGGAAGGGACCTTGGAGGTCATCTAGTCCAACCCCCTGCTCAGGCAGGAAACCCTACACCATTTCAGACCAATGGCTGTGCAGTCTCTACTTAAAAGCTTCCAGTGTTGGAGCATTCAGAACTTCTGGAGGCAGGTTGTTCCACTGGTTAATTGTTCTCACTGTCAGGAAGTTTCTCCTTAGTTCTAGGTTGCTTCTCTCCTTGATGAGTTTCCATCCGTTGCTTCTTGTCCTGCCTTCATCGGCTTTGGAGAAGAGGTGGATCCCCCCTCTTCTTTGGGGCAGCCCCTCAAATACTGGAAGACTGCCATCATGTCACTCTATCAGGAAGCGGCTGTGCAATGCAGCATGCCATTTTTGCGCCCTGAGGTGCAACGTTGGCCTGTTTTCACGCCCTGCGGTGTGATGGTGTCCCGTTTTCGCATCCCGCAGCAGAGTGGTGTCCTGTTTTTGCACCCTGCAGCGCAGCAGTAGCCCATTTTTGCACTGTGTGGCGTGGCGTCCTGTTTTCGTACCCTGCGGCCACAGCACTAGCATACAGGGTGCGGCCCAGTGGCCAGCAGCCCACAGCCCACTACCGGGCTGCGGCCCGCAGGTTGGGGACGCCTGGTATAGGGTTTCCTGCTTAAGCAGGGGGTTGGACTAGAACCCCTCCAAGGTCCCTCCTGGCTGTATTCTGATTGAGCTCCCTTCCTTACCGTTACTGTGATTCCCTGTCTGGAGTGGAGGAGTCGGCTGCAAATTGCCTCCCAGTGTCCCGTAGCTGCGGTAGCTGTAATTCAGACTCCCGTTGATGTAGACGGGGTCCTGGGAGAAGGAGGAGGAGGAAGCTGGCAGTGAGTAGGACGAATGCGTGACGGAGGTGGACGAATCCCGGGACTGCTGCTTGTCGAGTGAAACTGGCTCGTCCTGCGAGGGGAGAAACGAAGGATGCGTTGCGTCAGGCGCAAAGAGAATCGGGACCCTCCGTGAGATTTCAGCCTGTGTCGGAGCTGCCATCTTCGGCTTGGCGCCTTGCTGCCATCCTGCCATCAACCGTTTGGGGTGGGTGGGTGGAGGAGAGGAAATGGGCACAAAGCATGTATGGGGTAGAGATGAAAAAACGGAGGGGGTAGAGGCAGGTGTGACGGAAACCAGAGGTGTGAGAAAGCAGCCCGTCCCAGTCTTCAAGGCCATGAAGCTTGGGAACGGAATGCGAATTGCATCAAACGTCCAAGTGGTTCCCAAAATATCTAGGTGGCACACCATTGGTCGGTGGCGAACTGGTCAACGGGGAAGGGCTGTGACGAAGGGGGAAAGTTTGTAGCCTTTTGCGCGGCAATGCTCAGATCTAGCCTCGCTTTTACTGCAACCACTAAGCCTTAGTAAAAGAACCGATCGCTTCAACCAAATGGAGTCAAGGGTCTTTCTTTCCTATGGACTTTGCTGGGGCAGGTCTGACAGCGTGGAAAACAGCAATCACACAACCCCAGGAGGCTGGCAACATCCTAAATACAGATCGTCCTCAACTTAGGACCACAATGGAGCCCAACGTTTCTGTTGCTAAGCGGGACAGTTGTTAAGCAAGTTTTGCTCCATTTTACGACCTCTCTTGCTACAGTTGTTAAGGGAATCACTGCAGTTGTTAAGTGAGTGACACGGTCATTAAGTGACTCTGGCTTCCCCGTTGACTTTGCTTGTCGGAAAGTCGCAAAAGGGGATCACGTGACCTTGGGATACTGCGATACTACTGAGTCAGTTGCCAAGGGTCTGAATTTTGATCACGTGACCAAGGAGATGCGGCAATGGTCATCGGTGTGAAAAATGGACATAAGTCACTTTTTTCAGTGCCATCGTAACTTTGACGGGTCACTAAATGAACTGTTGTTAAGTGGAGGACTTCCTGTATATGCCAGTTGCCAAGCGCTGGTATTTTCATCCTGTAACTCTGGGAATGTTCTGCGATCATAAGTCACTTTTTTCAGTGCCATTGAGAATGGTCGCTAAACAAACTGTTGTAGGTGGAAGACTATATTATAGTAGAGTCAGTTTTAGGACTGACGTGTGGCATGAATATAAACTCTGATCATGTAAGGGTTTGAAACAAACCAGGGTGCAGAATCGAGGATGGGATTCAGTGCCTTCTTGCAAACAGTAAAGGGGTAACTTCTCCCAATACTCAAAGCCAGCAAATAACCCAATTCTGAAAACAATGTACAGAATCGAGGATGGGACCTTGCGCCTTCTTGCAAATGGTAAAGGGATAACTATCCCGATACTCCAGGCCAGCAAATAACCCGATTCTGAAAACAGTGTACAGAATCAAGGATAGGATCAGCGCCAGCAAATAACTTGATTCTGAAAACAATGTACAGAATCGAGGATGGGACCCTGTGCATTCTTGCAAACGGTAAAGGGGTAACCTATCCAGATACTCAAGGCCAGCAAATAACCCGATGCTGGGTCCCATACCTGCGACGTCTGGTAGATCTCGAGCCGCATCCGCTTGGCTGCTTTCCGGGTCTCACTTTCACAAGCAGCTGCCAGGATGTTCTCGGCCATGGCTGAGGTCAGGTGAGGAGGGGTCGGCCTGGTCTGAAGAAAAAGGACATTTTCAGGAAAGCTGGGACAACTGAATGTGGCTCTATTTATGGCTCTACAATTGAAAAAAAAGTAACACTAGCAATCAAGATCAAAAAAGCAGAGAAAGGGGAAGAAAATCGAAAGATCTAAAGCAATTTTAAGATACATTGAGCAAAGATCCCATAGTCCTCCTCCTCCTCCTCCCTTCTAACATTGATGATGTTCCCTAATTGGGTCATGAAATGTCTGCAAGAAAACCACCAAGCTCAGAGAGCACCAAGGACCCCAGAGTTCTCCTCCTCACCCTCCTCTTCATCCCTCTTCCCCTCCTCCTCCTCCTCTTGTTAAACCCCACTCCCTTCTAACACTGATGATGTTACCTAGTTGGGTCATGAAACGTCTGCAAGAAAACAACCAAGCTCAGAGAGCACCAAGGACCCCACAGTTTTCCTCCTCCTCCTCTTCCTCTCCCTTTCCCTCCTCTTCATCCCTCTTCCCCTTCTCCTCTTCATCCCCCTTCCCCTCCCCTCCCCCCTACAAACCCCACTTCAGGATCCACCTGTCAATCAATGTCTATGGAGATTCTCAAGTCATCCAGGTCATAGTTATCCCAAAGAAGCTTTTTTTCACGAGGCAACTGGACTTCGCTTGTTTTTCTCTGAAGACGTTTCGCTTCTCATCCCAGAAGCTTCTTCAGCTCTTCAACCCACCACCCTCCAGGCAGAGCTGAAGAAGCATCCTGGATGAGAAGAGAAACGTCTTCAGAGAAAAACAAGCGAAGTCCAGTTGCCTCCTGAAAAGGCATCGTTGAGACCTGTCAGTCAAGAAAAGCAAATGAATAAATGAATTTAGCTTTCCCGGGGGAGGGGAGCTTTCCCCCAAGGCCTGAGGGTCCCTTCCCTATGGGGAGAGCCCCTCTTCTTATCCTCTGCCCATAAGCAGGGGATTAAATCCCCTTTAATGCCAGGATGGGATCTGGCTCGGGAATTCTGGGCGTTGAAGTCCACGGGTTGCAAAGTTGGCAGAGGTGCCCGCAGCCGCCAATTTCAGAGTGGTGGACTTCAACTCCCAGAATTCCTCAGCCAGCCATGCTGAAATTGGCAGAGTTGTCCACTGCTGCTCCAGATGTCTGGAGGGGGGGGAGAAATGCCGCAAAGACCCCCGCCCTCACCATTTCCATGCCGTTCTTCTTCATGCGGCGGCAGGATTTGAGGTAAGTGCGGATGCGTTTGCGCGCTCGTTCCTGGAACTCCGGGAATTGCCGGCTGCAGGATTCGATGATGGCCTGGATCTTCTCTTTGGGCTGCTTGGAGATGGGCACCATCCGGTCCAGGTTCTCGTCCACGAAGAGACGCACAAACATCTGCAGAGATAATGGGGAAAGCGATCAGGTCTTTGCTCTCGCTAGGCCCGCGTGAGTGACGACAGGCGGTCCTTGACTTACGGCCTATTTTACAGCCGTTAAGCTGGAAGCTTAAAGCTTTCAAGAAGAGACTGGGCTGTCATTGTCAGAAATGGTGTAGGGTCTCCTGCTTGGGCGGGGGGGTTGGACTAGAACAGGGCTTTTCAACCTTTTCACCCATTATACCACTCTTAGGATATAGCAATATCCGAGTACCACCAGTTGCCTAGCAAGGTGTCAAAAACTTGACCAAAAAAAAAGGAAAAAAGTGATAAAGTACAGGTAGTCCTCGACTTAGTGACTGTTCGAAGTTACAATGGACCTGAAAAAAGTGCCCCCCAAGCCACAGCCGAGCAAGACACCTGCCTGCCCGCCCGGCCACGTTCTTCCTCCTGTCCGAGGTTTTCATTGTTGTGAGCGTTTCTGTTGAGGATTGGCAGCGGGGGTGGGGTGGTTTTTTTTTTGAGTTTTATGCCCCCCCCCCGTCTGCTCGGTGGTTGCAGCAGGTTTTGGTCACTTCCCATGACCCTGGGACACTGTGACCATCATAAATATGAATCAGTTGCCAAGCATCTGAATGTAAATCACAAGACCCTGGAGATGCTGCAACATTCCGGCTGATCGGCGCTTCTTCAGGGCTTGGCAGAAGCGCCAGGATCAGCGCTGAGCTCCAGCTGGAGTCTGGCACTGATCCTGGTGCTTCCGCTGAGCCCTGACAGCCCTGCAGCTCCAGCCGTCTCTCGCTCAGGCTTGTGCAGTGCTGCCACCGGTTCAGCTCTTTCCCCTCCCCCGCTACCACTTTTCTAGGATGGTCGTGTACCACCTGCCAGGTGCCAATGTACCACAGGGGGTACCCGTCCCACTGGTTGAAAAGCCCTGGACTAGAAGACCTCCAAGGTCCCTTCTGACTCTGTTATTCTATTCTCCTATCTGCCATTGCTTTAGTCTGGCAGGAGTCTGTCGGTAGGCGAGCAGCAACCAAGGGACTACACGGAAGTTATTCACCACCACGGATCGTTCTCAGTCCGTACATTGAAAGCCTTTAGCCGCTCGGGATCCATGCCTTCTGAGTCGTTCATCTTGTCGTTGTCCTCGTGGTCATCGTGGTCATCGTCGTCGTCGTCAGCAGTGGGAGCTCTGCCCACGGTCAGGTCTTCGGGACATCCGCTGACCTCCGTCTTGACCGAGTCGTAGCTGCCGGAGCTGTAGGGAGGGGACTGCCGGGAGAGGAAGACGTCACCACTTTGGAGCCTCTGCTTACCCCCCAACATCCTGCTGGGACCTTCAGATTTCTCCCGGGGTCACTCACCCTCCCTGGGTCCACCTCTAGGTCTTTAGAGCAGGGGTCCCCAACCTTTCTGAGTTGGTGGCCCAAGGAGGGGTGGTGCTGGTGGAGGCGCGTTTACGTGTATGAGTGCACCCACGGGGCCACGTGCGTCCAAACAGGGTCGTGATTGTACGTGTGACGCAAACAGGGCCACCCACGCTCACGCAACGCTTGGGCGAAGCTGGCACCCACGCGACGCCGCAACACTAGCGTGAGTGGGGAGGGTGTCAACGCTGCTAACATCGGATGTTTCGCATTGACAACAGATGGAAATGTAGCCATCTTTTCCCCTTCCGCTTTTAGAGTTAGATGATGCTGGGAAGGGGGGGGGGGAAATGTGAACGAGAGTCTAGCTAGACATAACAACACTAAACGTAGGGTGAGAATCAAGGGTATTGAGCCCAGAGCTGATAAAGAATTGGTGGGCTGGAGAGCTGGAGAGGAAACCCGGTGCTTCAAGCTAATTGGGGAATGTGATTTATGACTGTTAATTGGAGGAGGGAATTGTGCTTTGATACTTTGTGCCCAGGGGAGGGGAATTCAGTTTTTGGCTTCGATTATGTAAGTGCCAATATTATACTACTCCAATAAAAAGATTAAGGTAAACGATGCCTCAAAGTTCTTTTGAGTTTCATCTGTCGGAACATGACAGAGGATGTGAGTGCACTCACGTGTGAATGGGGCCACGTACACACGAACGGGGTTGTGATTGTGCACATGATGCAAACAGGGCCATGCACGCCCGCATGAGGCTTGGGCGACACTAGCACCCACGCAATGCCGCAATGCTAGCACAAGTGGGGATGTTGCGCTTGCAGCGACACTAGTGCCAGCATGATGCTACAATGCTAGTGTGAGTGGGGTGTGCACTCATGGCGATGCTAGCGCCCGGCCAACACGGCATTGCTGGAGCCCGTGCGACATCGCAATACTAGCACAGGTGGGGAGGGTGCGAGTGCATGCACATGTGAACGGGGCTGCATGTGCATAAATGGGGTCATGATTGCGTGCGCGATGCTTGGCGATGCTAGCACCCACACAATGCTGTGATGCTAGCACGAGTGGGGATGTTGCGTTTGCAGCGACGCTAGTGCCAGCATGAAGCTGCGACACTAGTGCGAGTGGGGTGTGCGCTTGTGGCGATGCTAGAGCCCGGCAAACACGGCATTGCTGGAGCCCGCACAATGCCACAACACTAGCACGAGTGGGAGGGTGCAAGTGCACCCACGCGTGAACAGGGCTGCGTGCGCACAAACAGGGTCGTGATTGCGTGCACGATGCTTGGCGACACTAGCACCCATGCAACGCTGTGATGCTAGAGCGAGTGGGGATGTTGTGCTTGCAGTGACGCTAGTGCCGGCATGATGCCACGATGCTAGTGCGAGTGGGGTATGCGCTCATGGCAATGCTAGCGCCCGCCTGACACGGCATTGCTATAGCACGCGCGACACAACACTAGCACGAGTGTGAGGTACGAGCGCGCACACGTCCGTGCACATGGCCCTGTGCCAACAGCCCACAGCTTGGTAGTGGGCCGCGGACCACAGATTGGTGACCCCTGCTTTAGAGGACTACCAAAATCTCTTGGTGGTTTCAACCTCACAGATGGGCAGAACCCTCCTAGCCCTTGCTGGGAATCACACACAACAGCTATAGGGGCGATGCAGAGTTATTTGGCCAGGATCAACCGGGGGGTACCCCTCATCCACCACCCTGCTCTCCCTGAAGACAGGTGGCCCCATTGTAGCCCCACCTCACTTGTTATCCCCCCAAAGGCCTTCTGATTCCTATAAGAAGATCCCGAGGAAAGTAGTTCATAGTTAAGGTGATTGTATGCTAGAGTTAAAGTAAGTTTATATTTGTTTATATTATGATTGGGTTGTTTGGGTTAAATTTGGATTATTATACGTTTAATCCTGTATTCAGCTCTGGGAAGTCGGGGGGGGAGGGGGGAAGGGGATTAGGGGATTGAAATTATAAAAATGGATGTATTTATATGTTATAGTTAAATAATAATTGTATGGAAAAGAGGAGATGCTCGGCTGGCACCCCAAACTGCTCTCGAAGAGGCGGTTAAGAAGGGAGAAGGGATGTAGGTAGGTGGAAAGGAGGAAGGTGGAGAGGTTGTGGGTTTAGGGGGAGGAAGGACAGGAAAGTGATGAGGGTGGAGGCAAGGCGGGGACCGCCGAGCGTCTCCGAAAAAGGTGTTGATTTGGATTATTGTTTGTGTATTATGTATTATAGTGGTATTTGTTGTTTAATTATAAAAATCAATAAAATTTTATTTAAAAAAAAAAAAAAAGAAGATCCCGAGGAAAGCAACTTCCAGACACATGTTTGTCTAAGCCAGTGTTGGCCAACCTTGGCCCCTTTGACTTCTGGGGAATTCTGGGAGTTGAAGTCCACGTATCTCAAAAGGACCAAGGTTCCCCAATACTGGCCTAATCCAACCATGTTCTAATGCAGGAGGTCTCTCTACTTGGCAACTTTTAAGACTTGTGGACTTCAATTCCCAGAATTCCTCAGATGGCTGGGGAAATTAGATGGCTGAGGAATTCTGGGAGTCGAAGTCCACAAGTCTTAAAGTTGCCAAGATTGGAGACGGCTGTTGTGACGCGTAGCTTCTCGGTCATTTCTGAAGCCAACTCATCTGTTCCAAAGCAATGTGTCGCCAATGTGATGGGGACAATTGCATGGGATACACACGTGTTGGGCGGGCTCGGTGGGTGGGAATTCAACCCAAAATCAGTTATAAGGTGACACTGGATTCCTAGGTGGGCTTTTGTGTCTTTTCATGGGATAATGCTCAAACCCACCCTGAGGTCCTCAAACTGGACAAGGCCATCTCCTAACAAGTTCTCCAACCTCTAGTCTTCCACCCGCAGCGTAGGTGGGCCAGGAGCTAGCCACCCAACATGTCTAACCTCTTTTGAGGGTCTTCCTGGGGGGGTTGGAGCAAGGTGGTGAAAACCATCAGTCATGCTCTCTTCCTGTTCCTGCCCTCCTCTTTCCCAAACATATGTTGAGTTGGAAGCTTGGTCAACCACAACCGTTGGCTGAGGATGGCTTCCCGCAGGCTGGGGATCTCCTGAACCACATTCTCCAGGTTAGGAGGTCCCACAAAGACCAGAAGGTCACGGGAATCGGCAGCTGCGTGCGGGTGGCGGTGGCATCTTGACCAGGTGCAGCATCTGGACCCACCTCTGTTGTGCTTTTGGCTCCATACTTCGTCCGGCTACGCAGGCCGTCGGCGCTGCAGCTGTCCGACTGGTAGGCGGTGGTGACGTGCGCGGTGGCCAACTTGTCGCAGAGGTTGATGGGCTGGTCCTCCGACGAGGCGCTGAAGTCCATGGGGGCGCCCGCTCCATTGCCGTTCACCTCGGCGTAGGTGGCATCGCCCTGAGTGCTGCTGGAGGTGGACGGGTTCAACGTGGAGGAGCCGTTCCCGCTGCAACTCTCTGAAGAGGAGTCGTCTGCAATGAGAGAGAAAATGTGCTCACTGTCTGGACTACTGCAAGGCGCTCTATACGGGGCTGCCCTTGAAGACTATCCAGGAGCTTCAACTACGATGGGGAGCAACTGCAATGAAGCCCAAAGATTCTGTGGCTATGGGGGCTCTTAAGAAGTGAGCCTTGCCCCGTTTCACGACCTTGCCTTCTTGCCACAGTTCTTAAGCGAATCATTGCCGTTGTGAAGTCAGTCGCACCGAATCGAGCTTCACCGTGGATTCTGCGCATCGGAAGGCCACAAAAGGGGATCACATGACACACACACCCACACACCGGGACACTGCAACCGTCATAAAGTTGAAATAGTGGTCAAGTGTCTGAATTTGGATCATGGGACCATGGGAATAATAATAATAATAACAACAACAACTGCTGCAAGAAGATCGCACAGACTGACTACAAGCAGCGGCATGACAAAGTAGCAACAATGGTGCATTGGAAGATCTGCAAGAAATATCATTTGCCTGTAAGCAAGGACTGGTGGGATCATAAAATAGAGAAAGTCATAGAAAATGATAAAGTTAAACTGCTCTGGGACTTCAGAATTCAAACAGACAAGCACCTGCAACATAACACCCCAGACTTAACAATTGTCGATAAGAAAGACAAAAAAGCCTGGATAGTGGACGTGGCAGTGCCTGGAGACAGCAGAATAGACGAGAAAGAACTGGAGAAGATAACAAAATACAGAGACCTACAAATAGAAATAGAAAGACTGTGGCAAAGGCAAGCAAGGGTAGTACCAATAGTAATAGGCGCCTTGGGTGCCATCCCAAAACAACTGGAGCACCACTTGAACACCATCATCGGCATTGACAGATTCGCCATTAGTCAATTGCAAAAGGTGGCCTTACTAGGAACTGCTTCCATCCTGCGACGAGATCTGTAATACCATCAAACATCCACATCTGCCTATCCCAGGTCCTTGGGAAGGACTCAACAGGCAGACAAAAATGCTAAATCCAGTCTGAACATCTGGCTGACTGTGCAATGAATAATAATAATAATAATAATAATAATAATGATGATGATGATGATGATGATGATGATGAGGAGGAGGAGGAGGAGGAGGAGGAGGAGGAGGAAGAAGAAGAAGAAGAAGAAGAAGAAGAAGAAGAAGAAGAAGAAGAAGAAGAAAAGAAGAAGAAGAAGAAGAAGAAGAAGAAGAAGAAGAAGAAGAAGAAGAAGAAGAAGAAGAAGAAGAAGAAGAAGAAGAAGAAGAAGAAGAAGAAGAAGAAGTAGTAGTAGTAGTAGTAGTAGTAGTAGTAGTAGTAGTAGTTGGAAGGGGCCTTGGAGGTCATCTAGTCCAGTGATGGAGAACCTTTTAGAGACCAAGTGCCCAAACTGCAACCCAAAACCCACTTATGTATCGTCGGGTGCCGGGTGGGCGTGGCCCATTGGGTGGGCGTGGCTGCAGTGGTAACAGCAGACTGGGTGGGACTAAAAAGTTCAATCAATCAATTCCAACTTTGCAAGGTCTTTTTTTTTCCCCGCAAGAAGTTGAAATTGACTGATTGATTGAACCTTTTTTTTTTTTGCACACAGCGGCGGAGGCCTAAAGCGAAAAGGTTTTATAAAACCCAGCTAAAGGCCTAGGACTGGGGCGACGGCGTGCGTGCCCACAGAGAGGGCTCTGAGTGCCGCCTCTGGCACCCGTGCCATAGGTTCCCCACACCACTGATCTAGTCCAACCCCCTGCTCGGACAGGAAACCACAGGGACGCCGCAGTGGTTTTAAGTGTGAAAAACTGGTCATAAGTCACTTTTTTTTCCAGTGCTGCTAATCCGGATCCCAGCTACAATTCAAGGTGCTAGTTCTCACCTTTAAAGCCCCGCCTGGCTTAAGGCCAGGTTATTCGGGGGACGCCTCTCCCCACATTATGGCCACAACCATCCCACCAGGATAGAAAGGCGGGCCATGTCGCGGGCCCCGTCGATTAGGGACGTCCACCGGGGGGGGGGAAGGGAAGTGACAAAATAGGGCCTTCCGTCCACCGGACGTCCGGTTGGCCCACCACCCTGTTGCTTTGTGGTTTTATCAGAGGGCCTGGGGACCCCGAGTATAGATGGACCTCCCATCAAGGGGCTAATTTGATGTCACTGTTGCTTTCAAGGGGGAGTGGGCGGGGGGCGGAGGAGTCTTTTTCTCTGAGGGGTTTGTATGATATGGTGGGTTTTGTTCATGTTGCAAGCCGTCCAGGGTCAGCTGTGTGACAGTTGAGTGGGTGCATAAATTGGTTTAATCCAGGGGTCTTCAAACTTGGCCCTTTTATGACTGGTGGACTTCAACTCCCAGAATTCCTCAGCCAGCCTCCATTTTGTTTCTTAGATTTAAGACAGGGGTTTTCAAACTGGGTCCTTTTATGACTTGTGGACTTCAACTCCCAGAATTCCTCAGCCAGCATGGCTGGCAGAGGAATTCTGGGAGTTGAAGTCCACAAATCATAAAAGGGCCCAGTTTGAAGACCCCTGGTTTAGGACTACATACCTGTATTACACTTTTTATGAGGGGGAAAAAAGCAGAAATCTTACCCTTGTTCTACATTTAGTGATAATTACCTCTCTTCCAGCCGCGGAGCCACAAAGCAGCCCACAAAAATCTGAACTAGGCCTCTATCTACTCTCCAGAATGTTCCTTCAGGATTTCCTCAAAATACTCATACCTGTCTTATATATTCTATAGAACAGGGGTCTTCAAACTTGGCCCTTTGATGACTGGTGGACTTCAACTCCCAGAATTCAACATGCCTGGCTGAGGAATTCTGGGAATTGAAGTCCACAAGTCATAAAATGGCCAAGTTTGAAGACCCCTGGATTAATCAATCAATAAACAACACACTACTCCCAACTCAACCCCAATGGGAGGGCCGGCCAGCACCCTGAAAATCCTTCCCCTGCTTTTTAATTGCTTTTTTGTTTTGTTTTTGTAACTTCGCTTGCCTGTTTTACATTATACGCAAGGTTTTTAGCCTTTGAAATACAGGCTGTCCTTGACTTACAACAGTTTTGCTTAGTGACCATTCAAAGTTACAAAGGCGCTGCAAAAAAAGCGACTTACGACTGTTTTTCACATTTACGACCGTAGCTGCATTTCCCGTGATCATCTGATCAAACGTGGCAACTGACTCATGTTGATGATGGTTGCAACTGATCCCACCCAACCTGCAGACGATTCCTCCTCCTCCTCATTGTCCTCCTCTTCCTCCTTCCTCCTCCTCTTTATTGTCTTCCTGATTCCTCCTCTTTATCCCTCTCCTCCTAACCCTCTTCCTCAGTCCTCCTCCTCTTTTCCTTCTACCTCCCCCTCCCTTTTCCTCTTTATCATCTTCCTCCTCCTCTTCCTTCCTTCTCTTTATCTTCTTCCTTCCTTCCTTATCTTCCTTCTCCTCTCCTTCCTTCCTTCTTTCCTTCCTTACTTCTCTTTATCCTCTTCCTCTTCCTCTTCCTTCCTTATCCTCTTCCTTCTTCTCCTTCCTTCCTTCCTTCTATTTATCCTCTTCCTCCTCCTCCCCTTCCTTCCTTCCTTCCTTCTCCTCTTCCTCCTCCTCCCCTCCCTCCCTTTATCCTCTTCCTCCTCCTCCCCCCCTTCCTTCCTTCCTTCTTTATCCTCCTCCTCCTCCTCCTCCCTTCCTTCTATTTATCCTCTTCCTCTTCCTCCTCCTCCCTTCCTCTCTCCCTCTCTTCTATTTATCTTTTTCCTCCTCTGCTTCCTTCCTTTACTCCTCCTCTTCCTTTNCGCGCACACGTCCGTGCACATGGCCCTGTGCCAACAGCCCACAGCTTGGTAGTGGGCCGCGGACCACAGATTGGTGACCCCTGCTTTAGAGGACTACCAAAATCTCTTGGTGGTTTCAACCTCACAGATGGGCAGAACCCTCCTAGCCCTTGCTGGGAATCACACACAACAGCTATAGGGGCGATGCAGAGTTATTTGGTCAGGATCAACCGGGGGGTACCCCTCATCCACCACCCTGCTCTCCCTGAAGACAGGTGGCCCCATTGTAGCCCCACCTCACTTGTTATCCCCCCAAAGGCCTTCTGATTCCTATCAGAAGATCCCGAGGAAAGTAGTTCATAGTTAAGGTGATTGTATGCTAGAGTTAAAGTAAGTTTATATTTGTTTATATTATGATTGGGTTGTTTGGGTTAAATTTGGATTATTATACGTTTAATTCTGTATTCAGCTCTGGGAAGTCGGGGGGGAGGGGGGAAGGGGATTAGGGGATTGAAATTATAAAAATGGATGTATTTATATGTTATAGTTAAATAATAATTGTATGGAAAAGAGGAGATGCTCGGCTGGCACCCCAAACTGCTCTCGAAGAGGTGGTTAAGAAGGGAGAAGGGATGTAGGTAGGTGGAAAGGAGGAAGGTGGAGAGGTTGTGGGTTTAGGGGGAGGAAGGACAGGAAAGTGATGAGGGTGGAGGCAAGGCGGGGACCGCCGAGCGTCTCCGAAAAAGGTATTGATTTGGATTATTGTTTGTGTATGTAAATGCATTATAGTGGTATTTGTTGTTTAATTATAAAAATCAATAAAATTTTATTTAAAAAAAAAAAAAAGAAGATCCCGAGGAAAGCAACTTCCAGCCACGTTTGTCTAAGCCAGTGTTGGCCAACCTTGGCCCCTTTGACTTCTGGGGAATTCTGGGAGTTGAAGTCCACGTATCTCAAAAGGACCAAGGTTCCCCAATACTGGCCTAATCCAACCATGTTCTAATGCAGGAGGTCTCTCTACTTGGCAACTTTTAAGACTTGTGGGCTTCAATTCCCAGAATTCCTCAGATGGCTGGGGAAATTAGATGGCTGAGGAATTCTGGGAGTCGAAGTCCACAAGTCTTAAAGTTGCCAAGATTGGAGACGGCTGTTGTGACGCGTAGCTTCTCGGTCATTTCTGAAGCCAACTCATCTGTTCCAAAGCAATGTGTCGCCAATGTGATGGGGACAATTGCATGGGATACACACGTGTTGGGCGGGCTCGGTGGGTGGGAATTCAACCCAAAATCAGTTATAAGGTGACACTGGATTCCTAGGTGGGCTTTTGTGTCTTTTCATGGGATAATGCTCAAACCCACCCTGAGGTCCTCAAACTGGACAAGGCCATCTCCTAACAAGTTCTCCAACCTCTAGTCTTCCACCCGCAGCGTAGGTGGGCCAGGAGCTAGCCACCCGACATGTCTAGCCTCTTTTGAGGGTCTTCCTGGGGGGGTTGGAGCAAGGTGGTGAAAACCATCAGTCATGCTCTCTTCCTGTTCCTGCCCTCCTCTTTCCCAAATATATGTTGAGTTGGAAGCTTGGTCAACCACAACCGTTGGCTGAGGATGGCTTCCCGCAGGCTGGGGATCTCCTGAACCACATTCTCCAGGTTAGGAGGTCCCACAAAGACCAGAAGGTCACGGGAATCGGCAGCTGCGTGCGGGTGGCGGTGGCATCTTGACCAGGTGCAGCATCTGGACCCACCTCTGTTGTGCTTTTGGCTCCATACTTCGTCCGGCTGCGCAGGCCGTCGGCGCTGCAGCTGTCCGACTGGTAGGCGGTGGTGACGTGCGCAGTGGCCAACTTGTCGCAGAGGTTGATGGGCTGGTCCTCCGACGAGGCGCTGAAGTCCATGGGGGCGCCCGCTCCATTGCCGTTCACCTCGGCGTAGGTGGCATCGCCCTGAGTGCTGCTGGAGGTGGACGGGTTCAACGTGGAGGAGCCGTTCCCGCTGCAACTCTCTGAAGAGGAGTCGTCTGCAATGAGAGAGAGAGAAAATGTGCTCACTGTCTGGACTACTGCAAGGCGCTCTATACGGGGCTGCCCTTGAAGACTATCCAGGAGCTTCAACTACGCTGGGGAGCAACTGCAATGGAGACCAAAGCTTCTGTGGCTATGGGGGCTCTTAAGTAGTGAGCTTTGCCCCGTTTTACGACCTTGCCTTCTTGCCACAGTTCTTAAGCGAATCATTGCGGTTGTGAAGTCAGTCGCACCGAATCGAGCTTCACCGTGGATTCTGCGCATCGGAAGGCCGCAAAAGGTGATCACGTAACACACACACACACACACACCGGGGCACTGCAACCGTCATAAAGATGAAGCAGTTGTCAAGTGTCTGAATTTGGATCATGGGACCATGGGGATAATAATAATAATAATAATAATAATAATAATAATAATAATAATAATAATAATAACAACAACAACAACAACAACAACAACAACAACAGCTGCTGCTGCTGCTGCTGCAAGAAGATCGCACAGACTGACTACAAGCAGCGGCATGACAAAGTAGCAACAATGGTGCATTGGAAGATCTGCAAGAAATATCATTTGCCTGTAAGCAAGAACTGGTGGGATCATAAAATAGAGAAAGTCATAGAAAATGATAAAGTTAAACTGCTCTGGGACTTCAGAATTCAAACAGACAAGCACCTGC